TCAAGGATGTTTATTTTTCTTGGTTTGGCCTTTGAAAGTGCACGGAGATGTTTCGTGGGCGAGGTGGGGGATGTCTGCTGTTGCTGCTGCCTCTGCTGCTCCTGCTGACAAGGCTCTCACAACCAGTATCTTTTCATCATTCTTCACAACTTTGTTTCAATTTTTTACACATTAACAGAGATTAAAAGAAAAAAAATGTTCAGGCGGCAGCAACTGGATACGAGTGTATGTTTAAGCTGGACCTCAGTGCAATAATAACAGGAAGACCCGTCACAGGCTGTAAGAGTATCTTCATCGCGATCTGTGTTCGAGGAAGATGACCAGCCATGGCCTCCAATGCAAATGGCATAGAACTCGGGAAAGACTGCGACCAATTTTCCTCGTATTTTCTCCTTTGCTAGTCGGAGCAGTAGTGCTGAATGGCTCTTAAACTTCCAGAAAAGGACTGTAAGCTGGAATTTGTCTCCCATGTGGTGGTGGTGTGGGTCGGGCGGTGCTGGTGCTGTCACGGCTGTGTTGTTTTTCCATGGAGCGCACACCGGCCTCCTCAAGGGCCCTCCAGCTTGAGGGTGCGCGTCCCGACACCATCGCTTTGGCTATGGCTTTAGTCCCGCTACTCGTGATAACTCGTTAAACTATGTTCATTTAGTCTTGAAAACACTAAATGGAACATCACTAATATTCTCTTAAGTCTCACGATTATTTTATACGTGGACTGATAACTCTGGTAGGAGGCTGTGAAGGCGAGGGAGGCAAGGCCAGCGGCAGGAGATCGGGACGACACATACCATTTGGTTGGTCCAGCCGTATTGATCGGCAAAGCTGGACTTCATAGAACCACATCCTGGAATGTGGGAGATACAGGGGAAAAATTATGAAAAAAGTGTTTCTCTTTCACCGGAACAAAACGGGAGCCAGTGTTTAAGGCCAGCAGGGCATAGCAGACCCCAGCCAGCACCAGCAACCAGCAGGCGCACGCCCAGCCTCCCTGCACCTCCCCCTACCTCCCTCCCCTCACCTCCCTCCTCCCCACCACCCCGCTGGACATCATCATCACTACATCACCATCACGTCACCAACACGTCCTCATCACAGGCAAAGAGGAAATGTGTGTGTGTGTGTGTGTGTGTGTGTGTGTGTGTGTGTGTGTGTGTGTATGTGTGTGTGTGTGTGTGTGTGTGTGTGTGTGTGTGGTGGGGTGTAGCGGCAGGAAACACGGCTGCCCCGACACACAGCGACCCTAGTGTAACTTGTCCACACTCCCACAGGATATCACGAGAGACACGACACGACCCGTCTTCCAGTATCCTCATCACCGGTGTCATGCCGGGCTGGAGTGAACATTATATTAATATTATTTTGTGTAAGGTTGAAAAGTACCCAGAGCCAAGATAATGGTCAGGACTCGCGAGTGACAGGAGGTGGGTAGCTGTGGTGGATCAGGGACACCACACCAGCCACAGACATGTTTAAGCTGCTCCTGACACTCCTCGAAGGACCATATCTAGTGTTCACACCCACAGTTCTCCCCCAAAAAAGGAAAATAGTGAACTGATAATAAAGACCAAACAACGCTCTCTATACCACACCTAGTACTGCTCTCTCTCGCTTCCTGGCATAACGAGAGTACTGTACTACACACCCCCCCCCCCGTACAGAAACGAGTACATATTAGCCCCATTGTGTACATATTGTACATGGCTCTCCTGTGCAGTAGGATTTAACGCTTCTTTGACCATAACTGTGTCTTCGTAATATGAATTATAATAACTTATTGAATGTCATAATATCAATGATCTGTCTCACCCCTCAGCGGGTCTTGTAAATGTTTCTTAGGCGTATCCTAACCTTGATAGCTTCCTGTATAGTAAAGTTTGTCCAATTTTCGTACAACCTGTGAGACACGGGGTAGGGAGAGAGAGAGAGAGAGAGAGAGAGAGAGAGAGAGTGTAGGAACAATCTCACATAACATAGCTCAGGAGAATGAATATACTTGTTAAATATATTTGTCTACAAGTAACACAACAGAATCAATAACTCACATAGACAATAACAGTAAAGAACAATAATTCCATCACGTATTGTACCTTTAAAATGTGAGACCCAAGACGTTTGTAAGTAGACGAACCACCTACTTACAAAACATTACTTACAAGATAGATATATAGATAGATAGATAGATAGATAGATAGATAGATAGATAGATATATAGATATAAATTTATTAAGCAAACAACAACCAACGAGAAACAATAGATTCAACCAATGAGAACCCAGGAAATAATTCGATAATTTTTGTTTGGGTAATTGTTATTGGCTAGAATATAAGGGATATTTTTTTACGAGCTTATTTAAGTTTTCTTTGGTGGATGATGTTAGTGTAGGGAAGGAGGGAGGGAGGGAGGAGGGAAGGGGTGAGGGAGGGAAGGAAGGAAGGAAGGGGGGAGGAGGGAGGGAAGGAAGGGTGAGGGAGGTAGAGAGGTTGGGGGGGAAGTGTTGACGGAGGAGTAGTTGGAGGTCATGTGTCTGTCCATACACTTTATGTCTACCTCTACACACACACACACACACGCGCGTACACATATACTCCCGCTTTTCAGACTCCCATGTACACCACTACACATTCTTTGACTCCCACACACACACACACACACACACACACACACACACCTCTTGCCACTCGCTAATTAGACAAACAACCGACCTCAAAAAATCGTGGACGTAACAACCAGTCGCTAACAATAACCAATTTATTATCATTAATTATGATTATATAAAACTGAACGACGCGAAAAAAATTAAAACTTTTGTAAGGCTTTTATTTAGTGACGAGACTAATTAGATGGATTATATAATTAGATGGAATTAGATAGACTGAAATGAGAGGATGCGTAATTGATGATAGAATGTTAGTAATTAATAATAAATTGATAATAATTGTTAATAAAACACCAATAACAGATAATAATAATAAATCATCATAACTAAGACAAAATATATCACTCTATAAGCAATTTTTTTTAACCCTCATAAAAAAAATAATTACAAACTCATAAATATTTTGCCGTCAACGAAAAATTTCAATAAAATCGTTCCATTATGACGAGTCAATAGAAATAATGGTACTTTTTCTTTAATTACCTTAGGGGGAGAATTAATACATATATACATACACACATACATACATACATACATACATACATACATACATACATACATACATACATACATACATACATACATACATACATACATACATACATACATACATCATACATACATACATACATACATACATACATACATACATACATACATACATACATACATACATACATACATACATACATACATACATACATACATACATACTGTACATCTATTTATCGAATATAAAAAGAGAGATATCTTTTAGTCAACTAGTTAGAAATCTTTTTGTCAAGTAGAGAGAATAAGAGAGATCTTGTTTGTCGAGTACATCATGTTGACTTGATTGCATTATAAACCCCGTAAGTATAAAGTCCAATAATTTTAAAAGACCCCAACATTAATTAGTTTATTTTCTTAAGCTCATTCACTATTTTAAAGAGTCTCAGCATAAAATCGCCGCCATATTGTCCATTCATTACCTCACAGACATTCAGACAACAAGTAGATGTGTTTTTCATATCTACAACATAACACAACATTATGAACGCAGGAAACCTTTTGAGAATGTGGAGTTGGAATGTTGAATAATTTAGTGAATGATGTTGGTAGAATGAGAGGTAGGTACTTGAGTTTACCTGCGTACAAGAGACAAACTTGGAAAACCAGGAAAGGTAAAATGAAAGAAAAAAATATTACGTCCACTTGAATGAATTACTTATGAATATTTAAATCAGGGTAAAAAAAAATTCGTTCCCTGTGATTTCTGTTGACAGGAGCTGATCTGAGTTCCTGGTTGTTGTTGATGCTAGGATATGCTAGGATATGCTATAGGATGTTTTAGAATAGGCTAGGATGTGCTATTTAAGGTGTGCTAAGATATCATTCTCCTGAGCTAAGTGTGTGTGTGTGTGTCAGTCCTTGTGTGTATGTGTGTGTGCATATATCTGTGCCTGTGAGTGTGTGTGTGTACATACATGAATATCTGATTATCAGTGTGTATGTGTGTATGTGTGTGTGTGTGTGTGTGTGTGTGTGTGTGTGTGTGTGTGTCTCCCTCGGCCCCATATCGTTGAGTCTATGTGCTAGATCGGATTCTCTAAACTGGGGTTATTTGTAAGTAAAGGAGTCACATGTTTGTATTATTTTTTCATTTCTTTCACTTCTATTTCTTTTCAGGGGAGGGGGAAATGGGTTGGGTTGGGTAGGGAAAGGGGAAAGGGAGGAGAAAGTAAAGGAAAGGGGAAGGGGGCAAGGGAATGGTTTTGTGAACAAGATCAGGTTCACCATCATACTGGCAATAGTTGAGTAGAAAACGACCATCATAAACTACCTAGGATCCCATTTTCTGTAATTGACCAAAAAAATCCAAGTCCCATTTTCTGTAATTGACCCAAAAAAAATCCTAATCCCATTTTCTTTTATACAAGTAATTTCTCTCACCAATTAGAAAACGTTGAAGAATTATCCCTCAAGTGTAGAGATGATTCCAACACTTATTATATTCTTCTGTTGTTGATTCTTTACCTATGGGATTCTTTCTTGTCCTTGGGGTCGATTCTTACAAGGTCGAGGGGACGAGTCTAAGACAGGAAGAGTAGGAGGAGGAGGAGGAGGAGGAGGAGGAGGAGGAGGAGGAGGAGGAGAATAATTCAACCCCCATAAATGTCTTCTCTGTTGATTCCCTTTTCCTCCTTGATTCTTATTCTTATTCTTATTCTTCTTCTTCTTCTTCTTCTTCTTCTTCTTCTTCTTCTTCTTCTTCTTCTTCTTCTTCTTCTTCTTCTTCTTCTTCTTCTTCTTCTTCTTCTTCTTCTTCTTCTTCTTTGGGGGGGTTGAGATTCTATTGAGGTTGAGAGGAGTTATTCTCAGCGACCCGAGCTTTGCGATGCTATGTACAGTATTTAATAAGAGTGGTGGGCAGGCCAGCAGGATAGGGCGGCGTAGGTAGCTGGCCTGTTGAGGTGTATATGTGTGTGTGTGTGAGAGAAAGAGAGACTGAGAGAAAGAGAGAGATAGAGAGAGAAAGAGAGATAGGAACGTCAGGGGGAGGGGGGCAGGCTACAGTAGGTTGCTCCCCTGTTTCACTGGTGCGGCTTTGTAACAGCAAAACCTGTAACCAGTTGTGATAACAGTTCTTTGTATTTTTATTGATGGTTTTACATGTTCAATAAAGTGTTCCGTGGAAGATTGTGTGTGTTTCCTTAACTACTATACCGTTATTATTATTATTACGAATTATTGAGAAAGGTGTTACTACCTAGTGTCTTTAATTGATGTTACTGGATATTGATTTTGTTTTCATTTTATTGACTAGTGTTTATATCTTTAACATAAGACGGACTTAATTCTGAATGGATTAATAGATGAAAGAATTGTTGACGTGTTATGTGTTGTGATCTAAATTACTATAACTAACATTAAAGGACACCATGAGTATGTAATGTATAAACACACAGTCATGAGAATATAAATAAACAAAAGAAAATGGAGTAGAGAGAGAGAGAGAGAGAGAGAGAGAGAGAGAGAGAGAGAGAGAGAGAGTAGTTAACTGTCAACAAAAAAATAACACAGAAACTCACATTATACAAACAAACATTGAAAGCTTAAGGAGACATTATTACAAGGATCAGGTCACTGGTGAACTGGACGCTTGTACAAGAAGAACAGATCAACAGAAAACGAAGGAGAGCCATGACGGGATCACAGGAGACAAGAAAAGACTCAAGAAAGAAAAGACCAACAGCCAGATGGGTAGATATAGATCAGTAAGTATGGAGGCGCTCAATGGCAAGGCTGTGGAGTGTGGAGATGGACGAAGCCTTCACTCAGGGTATAGATGCAGGCTGGTCATGTGTGTGTGTGTGTCATAAGTAAATATACCTTGATATATATATTTGTGTGTTCATCTAAGTACCAACAAATTATGTCACAAACTAATACTGGAGCATAACAAGCTCACCGCCTCGCCCAGCGGAGGACCGGGCAGCCCACTCACTCCCTCCACTATATAAACAACAACAATGGCAGAACGACGTGTCCACTTGGGCCTGGGGGGAGGGGCAAAGCCTCTCTTGATTACACGTTTCCACACAGGACTCAGCCAGCTGTAAGTCTTTTGGAGGCAGTGTGCAGGGCTTTGTCGTCTGATACAATAATAGCCATATACGTTAAATATCGCTTGATCTATCTCGTTTGACCGAGAGAAAATCCCCCTCTCCCCTCGGTCGTGACTAGTGGTCGGTGTATCATTGTACTCTGGGTAGAAGTTCTCAACGGGGTTACAATTCAGACACTACTGGAACTATTTCTCCCCCTCAGTATTTCACGTCGCCAATTCAGGTAAATTTGTGTCATATTTGTGTTATGACAGGATGCCAAAACATAGCTGGAGTGGAGGACAATACTCAGAGCCAGACTGAGATAAGTGAACTGGTGAAAGGGAGATGGCTATCGGGGCGGGACGGCTCCAATTAAGGTGATATCAGGGTTGGTATCTGTGGGAGCAGCCAGGGTGAGTCCTTTGTCACATGGTGGGGCTGGTGTGGCTACCCTCCTCCCTGTACCCTGCTGTCCTTCTTGCCTGTACCCTGCTGCCTGTACCCTCCTGCCTGTACCCTTCTGCCTATACCCTGCTTCCTGTACCCTGCTGCCCCTTTGACCTGCTGCCTGTCCCACTACTCCCTCATGCCACCGACGATCTCACCTCGGTACAGTGTCTTCGTTTCACCAGCAACCACAACCACGCCACAGCTCCTCAGGTCGGCGTTATACAAGGCAATACTCTCTCCTCGTATGTCTCAGGGCGTATCTTAGTGCTCCTCTCCTGCTCTGTTATGAATGTTCCGAGCCCATGAATGTTGCTAGTCTTTGAAGCTCTCGAAGGTTTGAATGCTACGAGACTATGATTATTGCGTACCCTTGAATGTTTCGAAGCTTTAAAATGTTTCGAAGCTTTTAAATGTTTCGAAGCACTGCAAGATATGAACGGGGGAAAAATTCAATTACATTCTTACCCTCCGAGCGCTCTTAATCAACTGTGCTTCCAATTTTTGTAATTAAATGAACATTGCCAAGTATTTGTTTGATAATTCACCAAAGACCAAAATAATGTTGTCATGGGATTCTTCATAACTTGTTGAACTGATTGTCTATTACAACCAGCATATAGTCGATATATGATAAGTGGCAACTCACACCGTTATGGTTGCCGTTGGTCGTCAGGAACTGTTGTCTGTT